CATCACTCGAGTTCTTAATCGATCTCAACCGGATGCCATGTGGAAGTTTCTGGAAAGCTTTTGTGACTGTGTTTCAAAACAACCACATCTTTCCCAGATCAAATGGGAAAATGGTTTATAGTTGACAATACAGGGTGTGTTATATGGCAGAAAAGTTCGCTGGACACGATATCAGAATCCGTTATAAACATGGGACGTAAACACAGTGCGGCAAAATGGAGTCGGCATTCCAAAATGATTTTCCGGGAAGATTTTGTTTTAATAAATAATGATGGAGATAATGATTTTATAAGAACCAATGAATGTACAAGTAAAAAAAAAAATATATATATATATATATATATATATATATATATATATATATATATATATATTTTAAATTCCTCATATGCATTTACATCCCTAGAATACAGAGGAAAAAGATAAAACTTTTGTCCATTGTCTCTGCTAAATTTAAAAATCTACACTGTGTCTTCTGTGTCTTTGGGCTGTGCTTCAAATCGCATACAGTGACATATTACTTCAAAGTGCATACTATGAATACAAAAAAAAGGTTCATTGAACAGTTAAAGGTTGCTGGCTCTGTTGTAAAGTCACACTTAGAAACTTTAAGGATTTTAACTTTAAGGGTTCTGGATTTTACCTTTTTTTTCACCCTGAGTGTAAAATATTCTAGTTTTAAGATGGAGACGAGTTTTTGGTTTGTCATCAGTTCTGTTACCCGCTGTTTGTCTATAAGCTATAAGCCCCTCCCCTTTCTGTTCTGTGGTGCATGATGGGATAGGTTAGTGTGAAAAAGTAGCTATCACTTGACACATTTTTTTAGAACACCACATGTTCATATATTCCCAGAAAAATAATCTAGAATAGATAGAATAGTGGACAAGCATACAAGTTGAGACGAAATGCCATTGTCTGGATCAGAGGTGGAAATGGAGACAACGTGAAGGATTATGGGTAATTTGCCAGACTGAGCCATCCAGTTAAAAAGAGCTGTGTGTGTGTATGTGTGCGTGTGTGTGTGTGTGTGGGTGTTCATTTAGCACCAAGAAACAAATGAGTATATATATATATATATATATATATATATATATATATATATATATA